AACCCCTAAGAGTCGTATCAGCTTGTGTTTTAGTGTTTACCCTGGAGCTTTCGATGTATTATCCTCCCACAGCTATAAACAAGAAAGATGGTGGCGGTGGTGGTGGTGGTGGTGGTGGTGGTGGTGGTGGTGGTGGTGGTGTTGAGACCAGGGTCTTACTCTCTCACCCAGGCTGGAGTGCAGTGATGCAATTTCAGGTTGCTGCAGCCTTCGATCTCCCAAGCTCAAGTGATCCTCCTACCTCAGTCTCCCAAGTAGGTGGGACTACAGGGACACCACCACACCCAGCTAATTTTTGTAACTTTTGTAGAGACAGGGATTCACCACATTGTCCAGACTGATCTTGAACTCTTGGGCTCAAGCAATCTGTCACCTCAGCCTCCCAAAGTGCTGGGATTACAGGTGTGAGCCACCACACCCAGCCAGAGGATGCCTTTAAGATACGGTATTTTGCCCTCATCTACTTTCTTGGAGAGGCCTCCAGAATCAGGTAGGAGTCAGGAGGATAGCTCTTTCCTAGCTCGGTGCCTGGCATATAGATGCACTCCATAACTATTTGTCAAGGGAATGGAGTAAGAAATGTAGAAAACCCAACATTTAGGGTTGGACATGATAGCTTATGCCTGTAATCCCAGCACTCTGGGAGGCCAAGACAGGAAGATTGCTTGAGCCCAGGAGTTCAAGACCAGCCTGGGCAACATAGTGAGACCCTGTTTCTACAAAAATTACAAAAACACTAGCCAGGCATGGTGGCATGTGCCTGTGTTCCCAGCTGCTCTGGAGGCTGACATGGAAGTGCTTGAGCTTGGGAGGACGAGACTGCAGTGAGCTGTGATCATGCCACTGCATTCCAGCCTGGGTGACTGAGCAAGACCCTGTCTCAAAAGAAACAAACAAAACGAAAAAACCCAACATGTAATGATGAAACTATAAATATAGTTTATATTTATAACCCAACATGTAATGATGAAACTATAAATATAGTTTATATTTATAACCCAACATGTAATGATGAAACTATAAATATAGTTTATATTTATAACCCAACATGTAATGATGAAACTATAAATATATATAAATATAAATATAAAAAATAAAAATATATATATATTTTCTTTTTTAGTAGAGATGGTGTTCCACCATGTTGGCCAGGCTGGTCTCAAACTCCTGACCTCAAGTGATCTGCCTGTCTTGGTCTCTCAAAGTGCTGGAATTACAGTCGTGAACCACTGCACCTGAGAGTTATCCATTTTTAATTGCATTAATCTATACAAAAGATATTTATTAGTCCCCATCAGACTGAGCAATTCAACAGTTAAGATAGTCTTTAAATTGTCATACTCTTAGCACTTAATAAACATCGGTAAAGTAAACAAAGTACTTGCATTGGGAAAGCGCTGTGAAAACCACGTGGAGGATCTCTCCATAGATTCTGTTCTTGCTCAGTAAAGACTGTTGGCCTTATCATTGTTTACCACAGGGTGTCACTTCAGAGCAAGGTTTCGAAAAATGCCTTAACTTAGGGGAACTTGGCTGTTCACCATAGGATTGGTTCTGTTCTGACATTAAACACTGTTTTTATCAGAAGTTTTCTAAGTTGAAAAATACAACACAGATGCCAAACACACGTTCACTGAAACTTGTGCCCAGTCAGCCACCCAAGGTAAGTTCAGAAGCTCTCAGATTGTACAAGTCTGCACTTTTCGTGGAAATGAGGAAAGCTGGGTTCTTGGGAGAGCAAGAACACACCCCCGTACAGCCACCAACATACACACACGGATTTCACCTTCTTTTAAGATGACTTGACTACGTTTGTGTTTATTTCTGAGGTGTTTTGTGTATGTAGTTTTAACTCTTTTATGAGAACGTTGAAACCTGCTAGTGAAAAGTGGCATTTGGTTACCGTGAAAACTAAACTGAGCCCAGACCATCACTTAAGACCTGCAGCCTCTCCTGACAAAGTGTGGGTTCCTTTGCAGGAGCCTGTGCTCTCTGGGAAGCCATCCATGCCTTTGGTACAGGTTGAGAACTTTACCAGCACTGCCACTACAATGGAGGTTTCTAAAAGTCGAGTGATTTCCATGTCCCTGAAGTCATCCATCTAGATGATCCCTTGTTAGTAGGTTCACAAATTCTGTGTCATTCATTCAAGGGCTGACCAGGTTATTTACATGATGCTCCTGGATTTCTGTGTTTGGTGGATGTAGCTAGTAACTGTGCTGACAGATGCCTTGCTTCACCCTAGGTACGCATGGGGGTGGAACATTGAAATTCAAGGCCATGCTTTGGGCTGTTGCTACAAATTTGCCACCAAGAGAAAGTAAGTTCCAGAAGAGGCAGAATAGGCAGTAAGGAAAAGAAACACTGTGATTGTTGATCACTGCCCAATTGAGGCCAGGTGGAATTTTATTTTTTTAAGATTGAGTCTTGCTTTGTCACCAGGCTAGAGTGTGGTGGCGTGATCTTGGCTCACTGCAGCCTCTACCTCCTAGGTTGAAGCAATTCTTCTGCCTTAACCACCCGAGCAGCTGGGACTACAGGTGCGTGCCACCATGCCCAGCTAATTTTGTGTATTTTTAGTACAGTTGGGGTTTCACCATGTGGGCCAGGATAGTCGGTCTCCTGACTTCGTGATCCACCTGTCTCAGCCTCCCAAAGGACTGGGATTACAGGCATGAGTCACCACACCCAGCCTAGGTGGAATCCTTTTTAAGTGGTTTCTTTTAGCCCTGACTGGGGTATAGATACCATGGAAGATGCAAACATGAGTATTGTTTGCCTTGAGGCTGAAAGAAGAAGATAGAGTTGTAATTGGGCTTTTTTTATTCATTATTATTTTTAAAAATTTTTGCCCTTGAAATAATGGGATCCCCCCAGAAAATATCCATCCAAACCTTCTAAACAAAGGAACACACCTAAGTGTAATGGGAAAAAAGAGGTACTGGCACCTATAAGGTGCCCCTCACAAATAAGAGCATTACTTAATGCGTTTCTTTTCTATTACAGAGACGCTAGATATTGGCTGTTTCTTTTTGTTATATGTAAATTTTCAGTGCTGTAAAAGAAGTAGCACTTGAATATAAATTTCCTCAGCAAGGCAATTTACTTCTATAGAAGGGTGCGGCTCACAGATGTAACAATGGTGAGCGCACACCTGGACAAGGGATGGGAAGGAGTTCTTATTCCTGATGGAGGTAGCCCCTATTGCTGTGATGTTCCCCTATTGGCTAGGGTTAGACTGCACAGTCTAGTCTAATTCCGATTGGCTATTTTAAAGGCAGCAGGGGTAAGAGCCAGAGTGGCGGGGTGGGTAGTTTGGAGGGAAGGACAGTTACAGGACAGGTCAGAGCAGGTAGCCAGGGATGACCTAGGTCAAAGCAGGTGACTGGAGCAGGGGACCAGGGGAACAGATGTGAACTACTGATTGGAACTGGTGGAAAAGGTTGTTTACTGAAACTAAAGGAAGTGAAACTTTAAAATGGAGGACAAAGAACTGAACATACTGACCTATGATTCTTGGAAGAGAAACTTGGAGTTCACTTTGTCTAACATTTTCTCAGTTCTGCAGAGTGAGAATGTAATCTCTAATGAATTTTTCAGTTTATGAAAATACTATTGGAAAATACAAACTAGGGTGTTCCCATGAGGTCTGTCCGTAATAGTTGTTACTAGTTACTATTACTACCAGTTTAGTCCTTTCTGCTCTGGGATTTTCCCTTCTCTCTCTCAATTGGTATTTCTTACTGCTCTCATTTATCATTTTCTTTTTCCCCCCAAATTTGTATATTCATAGCTTCCTCCAAAAGATAGTTTTATCTGATCTTAAAATGCTAAATGTATTAATTTGTATTTGTCTGTTTACACAGTGGATATTTGGCTCTCTAAAGCTTGTGATGTTTCTCTACCCTCACCACTGGGAGAATTAGAATAAGATAATTGAAATAAACGCTTACCAACTGTATTAAGATCTCCATTGGGCATATCGGATATTTTATATGTAGGAGCTTGGGTATTCTGTGTATTAATCTATTCATTTATTGAACAAATGTTTATTGAGTGTCTACTATGTGCCAGACACTTCTGTAGGTATCAAGGATATGGTAGTGCAGAAAACAAAATGCCTGCCCTTATTGGACTTTACCCTCTAGTGTGGGAGACAGACGATGGACAAGTAAACATGTAGTATGTTGTATGTGATAAAGGACAAGTAAAACATGTAGTATGTTGTATGTAATAAAGGCTGAGAAGAAGATTAAGCTGGGAAGTGAGGGAGGCTGCACTGAAATTTAAGGTTGGATGGATGAAGAAATCCTTGGTGCAGATCTATGGGGGACGTGCTCTGGTCAGAAGGATTCTGTCTCAAGTGCAAAGGCCTTGAGGTGAGAATGTGCCTGGGATGTCCAAGGAACTACAAGGAGACCAGGATAGCAGGAGCAGAGTGGAGGCAGGGTCGCTTGCCCCTTTACCTCTCACTGTCCACCAGCTGCATCGCCCTGTCTCTTGCACTTAGTAACATTCACATATTCATGGAATGAATTAGTGAAATTGGATTCCAGAACTTTCAGAGAGAAAAATCAACAGCAACTAGATGGGCATGTGACAAAACAGGAGGGGTCAGATGATATCATAACTAAGGGTATTGTGGCGGAGAGAGAAACCTTGATGTCTTGCTGTTTTGCTCAGAGCCCTGCGATCATTGTTTTCATGTCTACCATTATGCTTCACTTAGGAACACTTTGCTTAGTGAGTGGTCTGTGCTAAGCAGAGTGTTCCTAAACGTGACTGAGCTCATCAAAGGGATGCCTGTTCCCATGTTCAGTATCAGTAGACATTGCGGTTTGATGACTTGGGCTGTGCCTAGTCAGTGCACCAAATGATAACTCTTTAGCCACGGGCAGGGGACAAGCTTCAGTTGCTACTCGTCAAGGGTAGATATTAACTGCCAAAAAATGAACAAGGTAATTTTGGGTCAAAAGGAAATGTGCTCTGTTTGCCTTTAGACGTACTAGAAGGTAGTTTTGCCAAGTCAAAACAATCAAGATTGGAAGAAGCGGTTGCTCCGGGATCCTCTTTCTCAGTAACAGAAGAAAGAATGTTGGCAGGTAACGTCATGCACCCAGTCTGTGGTTCAAGTAGGAGTGGGAGAAATGGGTCAGCACAGGATGTACCAACATGAATTACAAGGGAGGTATAGTTTCAAGATCCGAGTAGCTGCAAAATCCTACAATGAAGCTTTCTGTACTTTCAGAGACAAGTAAATTGTTGCAGAAATTATAGATAAAAGCAAGTGCCATTATCCCCTGGCATTGTTATTTCTTCCTCTTAAGTTCCTTCTGGCAGTTTCAGGGCCCAAGGGAAGTGAGGGAGGCTGCACTGAAATTTAAGGTTAGATGGATGGAGAAATGCTTGGTGCAGATCTAAAGTTATAGGTCTCTGATATAGTTGATAGCTATTAACCAAATTTTTGTGTTAGAAATACATAATCTATGCTGATTAAGAATGATCTGGAATGTCTGCATGTTTGAGGCTGGCCTTTTGACAAATGGTACCACACATTTTGAAACAGAGGGCTCTAACACAACGGATTAGAAAGCAGTGATTCCAGGGCCGGGCACAGTGGCTCACACCTGTAATCCCAGCACTTTGGGAGGCCAAGGTGGGTAGATCACCTGAGGTCAGGAGTTCGAAGCCAGCCTGACCAACATGGAGAAACCGCATCTCTACTAAAAGTACAAAATTAGCTGAGCGTGGTGGCGCATGCCTGGAATTCCAGCTACTCAGGAGGCTGAGGCAGGAGAATCACTTGAACCTGGGAGGAGAGGTTGCGGTGAGCCAAGATCGCGCCATTGCACTCCAGCCTGGGCAACAAGAGCGAATCTCTGTCTCAAAACAAAATAAAACAAAGCATTGATTCCAGACAGCCTGGATTTGAATCCTGGAGCTGCTGGCTGAACTCGCACAACTTAAGCATGCTCTGTTAAACAGGAATCCTGATGGTACCTAATTCACACAATTTTCATGAGAATTAAAAGAGTTGATGCATGCAAATCCCTCAGGACAGCACCAGACCCCTTGCAAGCCCTCTGAAGACTGGAATCCAGAAGTGGTTACACCAGGGTGCCCCAGAGAAATACCCTAGCCATATGTCTTCCTTAGAACCTCTTACCAACACCTTGGCCTGCTTCTTAGACAAAATGTCAGTTACCCTGATTTAAAGCTCAGGGAAGGTTTTGATGAAATGAGCACTTGCCAGAGAGTGGGATCGTGGCCGGGCAGTCAGCGGGGCTTCCACGGTTCGTGTCTGTGCTTCCAACTAACTCATCCTCTGGGCAACTGATGAATTGAGCACTTTGTTAGTTTTCTTCAGTGTTTTATTTTTGTTTTCCAGAAGGCATTTCTACTTCATCCCTAGAAGTTGTGCCAGAGAACTTGAATGGTTCTGCCATTCTGTCAACCTTGGAAGACTTCACTAGAGAACTCAGAAGAAAATCCGAGGTAATTGTCCATGAAACTTAAAACACAAGGTTGTTATAAGTCTGGAGGACATTATGCTAAGTGAAATAAGCCAGACAGTACCACATGGTCTCATTTATATGTGAGATTAAAAAAAAAAGGTGAACTCAGAAACAAAGTAGAAGGGTGATTACCAGGGGTCAGGAGTAGGGGAAATGGGAGATGATGAACAGAGCGTACAGACTTTCAGTTACAAGTTAGTAAGTTCTGGAGACCTAACATACAGCATGGTGACTACAGTTAGTAATAATGTACTGTATACTTGATATTTGCTAGGTATATCTTAAGAGTGTATCTTAAGTCCTACCGCCCCCCCAAGAAGGTAATTATGTGGGATAAATGAATATGTTAATTTGCTTCATTGTGATAATAATTAAAAAAAAAAAAGGTTTTTGGCTGGGCACGGTGGCTCACACCTGTAATCCCAACATTTTGGGAGGCCAAGGTGGGTGGATCAAAAGGTGGCGAGTTCGAGACCAGCCTGGCCAATATGATGAAACCCCATCTCTACTAATAATACAAAAATTAGCCAGGCATGGTGGCGTGTGCCTGTAGTCCCAGCTACTTGGGAAGCCAAGGCAGAAGAATTGATTGAACCCAGGAGGTGACGGAGGTTATAGTGAGCTGAGATCATGCCATTGCACTCCTGCCTGGCGACAGAGCAAGACTCAGTCACAAAAAAAAAAAAAGAAAAAAATTTTTTTAATTGCATTTTAGGTTTTGGGGTACATGTGCAGAACGTGCAAGACAGTTGCATAGGTACACACATGGCAGTGTGTTTTGCTTCCTTTCTCCCCTTCACCCACATTTGTCATTTTTCCCCAGGCTATCCCTCCCCAGCTCCCCACCCCGGCTGGCCCTCCCCTTTTCCCCCCAGTAGACCCCAGTGTTTAGTACTCCCCTCCCTGTGTCCATGTGTTCTCATTTTTCATCACCCTCCTATGAGTGAGAATATGCAGTATTTCATTTTCTGTTCTTGTGTCAGTTTGCTGAGAATGATGTTCTCCAGATTCATCCATGTCCCTACAAATGACATGAGCTCATCATTTCTGATTGCTGCATAATATTCCATGGTGTATATATGCCACATTTTCCCAATCCAGTCTATCATTGATGGGCATTTGGGTTGGTTCCAGGTCTTTGCTATTGGAAACAGTGCTGCAATGAACATTCGTGTGCATGTGTCCTTATAGTAGAATGATTTATAGTCCTTTGGATATATACCCAGTAATGGGATTGCTGGGTCAAATGGAATTTGTATTTCTAAGGCCTTGAGGAATCGCCACACTGTCTTCCCAATGGTTGAACTAATTTACACTCCCACCAACAGTGTAAAAGTGTTCCTTTTTCTCCACATCCTCTCCAGCATCTGTTGTCTCCAGATTTTTTAATGATCGCAATTCTAACTGGCGTGAGATGGTATCTCAATGTGGTTTTGATTGGCAACTCTCTAATGACCAGTGATGAGCATTTTTTCATATGATTTTTGGCCTCATATATGTCTTCTTTTGTAAAGTGTCTGTTCATATCCTTTGCCCATTTTTGAATGGGCTTGTTTTTTCCTGTAAATCTGTTTGAGTTCTTTGTAAATTCTGGATATCAGCCCTTTGTCAAATGGGTAAACTGCAAAAATTTTTTCCCATTCTGTTGGTTGCCGATTCACTCTAGTGACTGTTTCTTTTGCTGTGCAGAAGCTGTGGAGTTTCATTAGGTCCCATTTGTCTATTTTGGCTTTTGTTGCCAGTGCTTTTGGTGTTTTGGTCATAAAGTCCTTGCCTATTCCTATGTCCTGAATGGTTTTGCCTAGATTTTCTTCTAGGGTTTTTATGGTGCCAGGTCTTATGTTTAAGTCTTTAATCCATCTGGAGTTAATTTTAGTGTAAGGTGTCAGGAAGGGGTCCGGTTTCTGCTTTCTGCACATGGCTAGCCAGTTTTCCCAACACCATTTATTAAACAGGGAATCCTTTCCCCATTGCTTGTTTTTGTCAGGTTTATCAAAGATTGTATGGTTGTAGATATGTTGTGCTGCCTCCGATGCCTCTGTTTTGTTCCATTGGTCTATATCTCTGTTTTGTTACCACTACCATGCTGTTTTGATTACTGTAGCCTTGTAGTATAGTTTGAAATCCAGTAGTGTGATGCCCGCCGGTGTGTTCTTTTTGCTTAGAATTGACGTGGCTATGCGGGCTCTCTTTTGGTTCCATATGAAGTTCATGGTGGTTTTTTCCAGTTCTGTGAAGAAAGTCAATGGTAGTTTGATGGGGATAGCATTGATTCTGTAAATTACCTTCGGCAGCATAGCCATTTTCATGATATTAATTCTTCCTAACCATGAACATGGAATGTTTCTCCATCTGTTTGTGTCCTCTCTTATTTTGTGGGGCAGTGTTTTGTAGTTTTCCTTGAAGAGGTCCCTTACATTCCTTGTTAGTTGTATTCCTAGGTATTTTATTCTTTTTGTAGCAATTGTGAATGGCAATTCGTTCTTGATTTGGCTCTCTTTAAGTCTGTTGTTGGTGTATAGGAATGCTTGTGATTTTTGCACATTGATTTTATATCCTGAGACTTTGCTGAAGTTGCTTATCAGTTTCAGGAGTTTTGGGGCTGAGGTGATGGGGTCTTCTAGGTATACTATCATGTCATCTGCAAATAGAGACAATTTGGCTTCCTCCTTTCCTATTTGAATACCCTTTATTTCCTTTTCTTGCCTGATTGCCGTGGCTAGAACTTCCAGTACTATATTGAATAGGAGTGGTGAAAGAGGGCATCCTTGTCTAGTGCCAGATTTCAAAGGGAATGCTTCCAGTTTTTGCCCATTCAGTAGGATATTGGCTGTTGGTTTGTTGTAAATAGCTTTTATTACTTTGAGATACATTCCATCGATACCGAGTTTATTGAGGGTTTTTAGCATAAAGGGCTGTTGAATTTTGTCGAATGCCTTCTCTGCGTCAATTGAGATGATCATGTGGTTTTTGTTTTTGGTTCTGTTTATGTGGTGAATTATGTTTATAAACTTGCATATGTTGAACCAGCCTTGCATCCCTGGGATGAATCCTACTTGATCATGATGGATAAGTTTTTTGATTTGCTGTTGCAATCAGCTTGCCAATATTTTATTGAAGATTTTTGAATCTATGTTCATCATGGATATTGGCCTGCAGTTTTCTTTTCTTGTTGGGTCTCTGCCGGGTTTTGGTACCAGGATGATGTTGGTCTCATAAAATGATTTGGGAAGGATTCCCTCTTTTTGGATTATTTGGAATAGTTTCAGAAGGAATGGTACCAGCTCCTCTTTGTGTGTCTGGTAGAATTCGGCTGTGAACCCATCTGGACCTGGGCTTTTTTTGTGTGGTAGGCTCTTAATTGCTGCCTCGACTTCTGACCTTGTTATTGGTCTATTCATAGTTTCAGCTTCCTCCTGGTTTAGGCTTGGGAGGACACAGGAGTCCAGGAATTGATCCATTTCTTCCAGGTTTACTAGTTTATGTGCATAGAGTTGTTTGTAATATTCTCTGATGATGGTTTGAATTTCTGTGGAATCTGTGGTGATTTCCCCTTTATCATTTTTTATTGCATCTATTTGGTTGTTCTCTCTTTTCTATCAATCTGGTTAGTGGTTTGTCTATTTTGTTGATCTTTTCAAAAAACCAGCTCTTGAATTTATTGATTTTTTGAAGGGTTTTTCGTGTGTCTATCTCCTTCAGTTCTGCTCTGATCTTAGTTATTTCTTGTCTTCTGCTAGGTTTTGAGTTTTTTTGATCTTGCACCTCTAGCTCTTTCAATTTTGACGATAGGGTGTCAATTTTGGATCTCTCCATTCTCCTCATATGGGCACTTACTGCTATATATTTTCCTCTAGAGACTGCTTTAAATGTGTCCCAGAGATTCTGGCATGTTGTGTCTTCGTTCTCATTGGTTTTGAAGAACTTCTTTATTTCTGTCTTCATTTCATTGTTTATCCAGTCAACATTCAAGAGCCAGTTGTTCATTTTTCATGAAGCTGTGCAGTTCTGAGTTGGTTTCTGAATTCTGAGTTCTAACTTGATTGCACTATGGTCTGAGAGACTGTTTGTTATGATTTCAGTTGTTTTGTATTTGCTGAGGAGTGCTTTACTTCCAATTATGTGGTCAATTTTAGAGTAGGTGTGATGTGGTGCTGAGAAGAATGTATATTCTGTGGCTTTGGGGTGGAGAATTTTGTAAATGTCTATCAGGTTTGCTTGTTCCAGGCCTGAGTTCAAGCCCTGGATATCCTTGTTGATTTTCTGTCTGGTTGATCTGTCTAATATTGACAGTGGAGTGTTAAAGTCTCCCACTATTGTTGTGTGGGAGTCTAAGTCTCTTTGTAAGTCATTAAGAACTTGCCTTATGTATCTGGGTGCTCCTGTATTGGGTCCATATATGTTTAGGATCATTAGCTCTTCTTGTTGTATCGATCCTTTTACCAGTATGTAATGACCTTCTTTGTCTCTTTTGATCTTTGTTGCTTTAAAGTCTATTTTATCAGAGATGAGAATTGCAACTCCTGCTTTTTTTTGCTCTCCATTTGCTTGGTAAATCTTCCTCCATCCCTTTATTTTGAGCCATTGTGTATCCTTGCATGTGAGATGGGTTTCCTGGATACAGCACACTGATGGGTTTTGTTTTTTTTATCCAGTCTGTGTCTTTTGATTGGTGCATTTAGTCCATTTATATTTAGGGTTAATATTGTTATGTGTGAATTTGATACTGCCATTTTGATGCTAGCTGGCTATTTTACCCGTTAGTTGATGTAGATTCTTCATTATGTTGATGCTCTTTAGCATTTAGTGTGATTTTGGAATGGCTGGTACTGGTTATTCCTTTCTATGTGTAGTGCCTCTTTCAGGAGCTCTTGTAAAGCAGGCCTGGTGGTGACAAAATCTCTGAGTACTTGCTTGTTCGCAAAGGTTTTTATTTTTCCTTCACTTACGAAGCTCAGTTTGGCTGGATATGAAATTCTTGGTTCAAAGTTCTTTTCTTTAAGGATGTTGAATATTGGCCCCCACTCTCTTCTGACTTGTAGAGTTTCTGCCAAGAGATCTGCTGTGAGTCTGATGGCCTTCCCTTTGTGGATGACCCGACCTTTCTCTCTGGCTGCCCTTAGTATTTTCTCCTTTAATTCAACCCTGTTTAATCTGACGATTATGTGCCTTGGGGCTGCTCTTCTTGCGGAGTATCTTTGTGATGTTCTCTGTATTTCCTGAATTTGAGAGTTGGCTTGCCTTGCTAGGCAGGGGAAATTTTCCTGGATAATATCCTGAAGAGTATTTTCCAGCTTGGAATCATTCTCTTCGTCACATTCTGGTACACCTATCAAACGTAGGTTAGGTCTCTTCACATAGTCCCACGTTTCTTGGAGACTTTGTTCATTCCTTTTTGCGCTTTTTTCTCTAATCTTGGTTTCTCGTTTTATTTCATTGAGTTGATCTTTGACTTCTGGTATTCTTTCTTCTGCTTGGTCAATTCAGCTGTTGAAACTTGTGCATGCTTCGCGAAGTTCTCGTATTGTGTTTTTCAGCTCCTTCAATTCATTCATATTCCTCTCTAAGTTATCCATTCTTGTTATCATTTCCTCGAATCTTTTTTAAAATCTTTTTTCAAGGTTCTTAGTTTCTTTGCATTGATTTAGAACATGTTCTTTTAGCTCACAGAAGTTTTTCATTACCCACCTTCTGAAGTCTAATTCTATCATTTTGTCACAGTCATTCTCCGTCCAGCTTTGTTCCCTTGCTGGTGAGGCATTTTGGTCCTTTGTAGGAGGCGAGCTGCAGGGCAGAGCTGGTGGCAGCAGGGCGGAGCCTGCCATGGGGCCCGCGGCTGCAGGGCAGAGCCCGCAGCAACAGGGCCCACACCACAACAGCAGGGCGGAGCCTCGGCAGGCAAATAGTGACTAGACTGCCTCCTAGCTGGGCAGGATAGTGCTACGGACACTCATAAAGAAAGCCCCAAGCCCCCCAAGACAGAGCATCTGAGGTAAAAAAGGGGTTCTAAGAGTTGTGCTGCAGCAGAATTAAACGCACCTGCCTAACAGCCCTGAATGAACAATGGAGCTCACAGCTCAGCACTTGAGCTCCTATGAAGTACAGACTGTCTCCTCAAGCAGCTCCCTGACCCCTGTATATCCAGAGTCACCTCAAAAAGGACTGATCAGACTGGCATTAGGCAGGCACCATTCTGGGACAAAGATAGCAGAAGAAGAAACTGGTAGCATCCCTCACCGTTATGCAGCTGCTACAGGTGTACCCCAGACAAGCAGGGCCTGGAGTGGACCTCAGCAGTCGTATAGCAGAGGGGCTAGACTGGTAGAAGGAAAACCAAATAACAGAAAGACCTCATCATCAACAATCTGGGCATCCACTCAGAGACCCAATCGAAAAGTCAGCAACTACTCAGACGACAGGTGGATAAATCCACAAAGATGGGAAGAAACCAGCGCAAAAAGGAGGAAAACACCCGAAATTTTTTTAAAAGTAGAAACAAGATCTCACTATGTTACATAGGCTGGTCTCAAACATCTGGGCTCAAGTGGTCGATCTGCCTTGGCCTCCCTAAGTTCTGAGATTACAGGTGTGAGCCACCAAGCTTGGCATGTGGTAATCATTTGACAATGTATCTGTATATTGATCATGTGTATACCTTAAATATATAACACATTTGTTTTTAGTTTTTTGGAAACAGAATCTTGTTCTGTTGCCTCCTGAGTAGCTGGGACTGTGGGTGCATGCCACCACACCTGGCTAATTTAAAAAAATTTTTTTTAGAGATGAGGTCTTGCTATGTTGCTCAGGATGGTCTTACATTTCTGGCCTAAGGTGATCCTCCTGCTTCAGCTACCCAAATAGCTGAAATTACAGGTGTGAGCCACCAACCTGGCCTGATTTTTATTTGTCAATTGTACATCAACAAAGCTGAAAAAGAAGAAAGAAAGAAAAGCTAGCTCATTATGAATTGAAAGTAACAAGTTCATATTATTTATCAATGCTGTTGTTAACCTTCATATGTGAAGATGCTCCTGAGTGTTTGGGGATGGGGGGGATTTGTCATAGCTGTGATCACTGATTTCAGTGTCTTTGTGAATTGTGGTTTGTATTTTATAAGACAAATGGCAAATTTCATGTCCATTTGCCCCCCCTGGGACCAAGTGGACCTTATATACATCATACTGATGGTTTGGTTTCATTGGCAGCATCTTCAGATAACTGAACTACCAGAAAGCAATGATTTGATTACAGTAGTAGGCAAGGAGAAGGGGAAGGAGGGAACCGAGTGGACTAGAGAGGAGTCTGGGGCGGGGCACGGTGACTCATGCCTGTAGATCTCAGCACTTTGGGAGGTTAAGGTAGGAGAATCACTTGAGGCCAGGAGTTCAAGATCAGTCCGTGCAACATAGCGAGACCCTGTCTCTACATAAAATGCTTTTAAAAATCAGGTGTACTGGGCATGGTGACGTACACCTATAGTCCCAGCTACTCAGGAGGCTGAGGTAAGAGAATCCCTTGAGTCCAGCAGTTCAAGGTTACAGTGAGCTATGATCATGCCACTGTGCTTCAGCCTGGGCAACAGAGCAAGAACTCTCTCTCTTTTTTTTTTTTAAAGGAGAGGAATCTGAGACAAACATGGAGGTGGACTGTAGGTTGGTGGTCAGCTGAGTGGTGGCAGAACTTTGAGACACTTTACATACAGCCCATCCCATAATCTCGTCTACAGGATAAATATTGGAACCATTTCAGCCTTCTCCTTTTTTGTCCCATTATTTATAAATCCCCAGTGACTTATTTGAGAAAACCATGTTACTCTAACCAACATTCATTTAACCAACTTAGATCTCCAGAGTCTTATTTTCTGTGATACCAGTGTAAGCCAATTTGTAATATAAATTTATTCATAGTATTCATTATATGTACTGGTAATATATTAGGCCATTTTTGAAATGCTATTAAAAAAATCCCTGAGACTGGATAATTTATGGGGGAAAAAAAAAGGTTTGGCTGGGTGAGATGGTGGTTCATACCTGTAATCCCAGCACTTTGGGAGGCTGCGGCAGGTGGATCACAAGATCAAGAGTTCAAAACCAACCTGGCCAATATAGTGAAACCCCATCTCTACTAAAAATACAAAAATGAGCTGGGTCTGGTGGCATGTGCCTGTAGTCCCAGCTACTCAGGAGGCTGAGGCCATTGCTTGAACTCGGGAGGCAGAGGTTGCAGTGAGCTGAGATTGTACCACTGTACTCTAGCCTGGGCAACAGAGAAAGACTCTCCAAAAAAAAAAGCAAACAAACTGGTTTAATTAGCTCAAGGTTCTGCAGGCTGTATAGGAAGCATGGCACTGGCATCTGCTTGGCTTCCAGGGAGGCCTCAGGGAGCTTTTACTCATGGTGGAAGGCCAAGAGGAAGCAGGAGTGTCACATAGGGAGAGGAGGAGCGAGGGGCGGGAGGTGCCACACACTTTCAGACAACCCAGGTGTCGTGACTCGCTATTGTGAGGACAGCACCAAGCCATGAGGAATCCACTCCCATGACCCAGACTCCTCCCACCAGGCCTCACTCCCAACATCAGGGATTACGTTTCAACATGAGATTTGAATGGGGGCAAATAGACCAACTGTATCAGGTAGCATGAGTGTAAACTCTTCTATTTTAGCTTGTTCTGTGTTGGTACTGAACCCGGCATACTACCTGAAAGGTGTGTAGGATGATGCCTGATCACACTTGTCTAGCACTCACGTTTGCTATGAATGTTATTATGTACCAGCAGCATCTTTTTAACACAAAGAATACCCTCGACGTATGTAATTATATTTAACCCAAATGTGATCATTTTGTTGTTGTTACGGTCTAGCTTAGGTGCAGAAAGAGTCCACTTAATTCAGAAAATGCAAAGAAAGCACTGGATTGCCTAATAAAACTTTTAAACCAGATACAACTGTACAGGTAAGTCTTAGATTTCAAAACAAGGCCATGGAAGTATGCTGACTCACCAGCAATGTTCATCTCATGATCACTGTGCTGAGGCCCTGAGGAGTTGGGGCCTGAGCAGCTGTGAGGATTGATGCATCATTTAACCCTTCTGCGTTTCCGGTTCTTCAATCATATAATAAGGGTTTGAACTAGATGGTCCTTCTTAAGCCTCCTCATGGTCTACTGTGATACTAAAATGCTGTTCTTAAAAAATTTATTATCCAATTATGAAGACAAGGCAAGCATGGATATATGTGTTTAAACTGCTGGATAAATGAAATATGCTATATCCAAACAATGGTCGGTTATTTAGCCTTAAAAAAGAGTTAAATTCTGACACTTGCTATACCGTGTATGAACCTTGCAATCATGCTAAAGGAAAGAAGCCAGATAAAAAGGGACAAATATTATATGACTCCAGTTATGTGAGGTGTACCTAGAATAGTCAAACGCATGGAAGCAGAGAGTGCAACAGAGGTTGCCGAAGGTTAGGGAAAGGTGGAGTTTTTTGTGTTTTTTTGTTTTGTTTTTGGAGATGAAGTTTCCCTCTTGTTGCCCAGGCTGGAGTGCAGTGGTGCGATTTCGCCTCACCACAACCTCCACCTCCAAGGTTTAAGCAATTCTTCTGCCTCAGCCTCCCTAGTAGCTGGGATTACAGGCATGCACCACCATGCCTGGCTAATTTTGTATTTTTAGTAGAGACAGCGTTTCTCCACGTTGGTCAGGCTGGTCTCAAACTCCCGATCTCAGGTGATCCACCCACCTTGGGCTCCCAAAGTGCTGAGATTACAGGCGTGAGCCACGCGCCCAGTCAGAGTTGTTTAATGGTTACAGAGTTTCTGTCTGGGATGATGGAGGAGTTCTGGAAATGGATAGTGACGATGGTTGCAAAACATTATGGATGTACTTAATGCCATTGAGTTTTATACTTAAAAATGGTTAAAAGGGTAAATTCTATGTGATGTGTATTTTACCACAGTAAGAAGACACCATACACACATTTGCATGTGCACACACACACACACACCCTTATCACCATGTAACAAGAAATACAAAGGTACCAGGATTTTGGAGGGTTGAGGAAGGGCAGTGGAGGGATGGGTTTCTGTAGTGATTCGAATTCAGTCAGAGTGATTACCATGGAAGTGCTTCCTGAGTGAGGTTTATAAACAAAGATTTGAATGGCACAGGGAAGGTAAAAGTAGACGTTGTTCCTTGGGGAGAGAATGGCCTGCAAATGAAGGAAGGGAAGAAAAGAATGGTGAGTGATTTGCTTAACTGAGACAGAAAGTTTCTTAGGATGGAATACATTATTTGAATAGAAATGTTTACTATTTTTCAAAGTCTAGTATGCATGCGATGTCCTTTGAATGTTCAGGCAAGCCCATGAAGGACTTTGGATTTGTGGAATTCCCATGATCTTTCAGGGGTGCACACTTACCTGTGTATTCATTCAGCAAATGCACACTGAGTAATGTCGGATGCCAGACCCTGTGATTGGTTTGAGAGTGAGGTGAGGATGAGTTTTAGGTGCTCTTCATGAAACATTTGACCTAACAGAGAGGTCAAATGACACATGCTGTACCACGGATGAAGTAGGATGAATAGCACTTAACCTAACTCGAATCACTACAGAAACCCATCCCTCCACTGCCCTTCCTCATCCCTCTGAGATCCTGGCACCTTTGTATTTCTTGTTACATAGTCATAAGGGTGTGCGTGTGTGTGCACGTGCAAATGTGTGTATGGTGTTTTCTTACTGTGGTAAAATACACATAACATGAAATTTACCCTTTTAACTGTTTTTAAGTATGAAATTCAGTGGCATTTTGGTAGCAAGAATAGAGAAGACAAACTAAAAGCAAGCAAATAAGAAAATTAACAAATAAGCAAAGATGACAAGTAGACAAAGAATAGCGACTCTTAGAAATTTTAAAGCTGAAATGTAGATGTGGGAGAAGAGTGTATTAGCCCATACCTGACCACAAGCTTTCAGGGCCAGCTTAATGCAAGAGAATGGGGAGCAAGTGGAAGGTAGGAAGGGATGGGGAGCCTCAGCCTTATCTTCCCTGGAGTCATCTGTCCTATTGTTCTCTACTAAAAAAAAACCTCAGCTTCCTCCATGCTGCTGTTGCAAGATGACCTGAGGCTGGTCATGGTGGCTCACACCTCTAATCCCAGCACTTTGGGAGTCCTAGGAGACAGGCGGGATCATCTGAGGTCAAGAGTTAGAGACCAGCCTGGCCAACATGGTAAAACCCTGTCTCTACTAAAAATACAAAAAAATTAGCTGGATGTGGTGGCATGCACCTGTAGTCCCAGCTACTCTGGAGGTGGAGGCAGGAGAATCGCTTGAACCTAGGAGGTGGAGGTTGCAGTGAGCCAAGATAGCACCATTGCACTCTCACTCAGCCTGGGCAATAAGAATGAAACTCTATCTCAAAAAAAAAAAAAAAAAAGAAGAAGAAGAAGAAAGACACCCGAGAGTTGTTTATATAGTGAGGTTTCCAGGTTGAGGATGAGCAGCCAGGGTCAGTGAAGAGAAGAGAAGGGAGACACCACATGTTCTCATGACAAGAAATGTCTGGAGAAGAATCTGAAGTATCGTAATCAGATGACTTATTAAGAATGTCTGTCATCACATCCAAGCTGTCCCAATGATGTTTACTGCTTTTATGTTTATTAGACTCAATAAACTAGAGTGCTTTCAAAATTTGGTTCTTCAAGAGTTGAGCACTCTTAAGAAGGATATTCAGGCCTTGGAACACCTTGAGGAGGAGGTTCTGGTAAGTTCTTTTTGTTTGGAACATGTTCTGACTTTGGATCTTTCCAGGGAAAAATAACGCTAACTTAAACAAAACTTTTGTTCAATCTTAGGAATTCTGGGAGAAACAGTCTGCTGATCTGAAAGCTTTCTGTGATCTGCAAATGCTGAGGTAAGTTAAAAGGTGTTCTTTCTAGAAAAATCTTGGTTGAAGTATAAGGTAGTGTTTTAGCTAGAGAACGGACGGTTGGTGACGGTAGAACACACATAACTAGTGGAATAACTGCATCATTTGAACCAGCCGCTTCTGTAGCATTTCCCTGAGGATAGAGTGCAGCTGACGATATCGGATAAGAAGCGTAAATCTTGAAAAGCCTAATAGTGTCATCCAAATTTCTGTTTCTTAAAAATCCTGATTTTTTTTTTTTAATTTTCTACTTTTTGAGACTGAGTCTTGTTCTATTGCCCAGGCTGGAGAGCACTGGTGCGATCTTAGTTCACTGCAAACTCCACCTCCCGGGTTCAAGTGATTCTCCTGCCTCAGTCTCCTGAATAGCTGGGATTACAGTCACACACCACCACACCTGGCTAATTTTTGTATTTTTAGTAGAGACGGGGTTTCACCAAGTTGGCCAGGCTGGTCATGAACTCCTACCTTGTGATCCGCCAACCTCAGCCTCCCAAAGTGCTGGGATTATAGCCGTAAGCCACTGTGCCCTGCCGATTGTTTTATTTTTAAGCAGTATTTTTAAAACTAAAAGTGATTAGATTTTGAGAAAAATGTTTAGGTTTCTAAGTAAACAGTTGATTTTCAGTTACATATCAAATTGTGCTTTTCATAGACTATATTCTATTTATTTTACTCAGTATATATCTAATACAAATATGAGTATATGTATATATAATATGTATATATCTAATACAAATATGTATTATATATATTAGTATATATCTAATACAAATATGCATAAAATGTATTTAACTCATTTACACATTTTTTAAAACAACAAATGGGTTGATCCTGCTACAGCTCCCTGCACTGTAATTCATCAGTGCATCCTCTGGGGCTGCTCTTTCTATCCATTTGGGATATCGTCCAATCTTCTAGAGCCCGAAGAAGGGGAGGGTGAAGTGTGGACTCCTCTGCCCTGCAGGAAAATTCTAGTGTTCTTGTCTCACTCGAATAATCAAAAAAAGTCCATATATAAATTTATAGTAGTTAAAGCTTTATCTTCCAATTGAGAACCAGCTGCTTTTACAGAAATTCAAGTCGCATGCTTTTGGGAAGGATATTCTTCTGGTCATGTGTATATTTCAAAGCAAAAAAAAAAAAAACTTTTCGAATTGGAGTTAACCATGCCTTTTACTCCAGTTAATACAGTTAATGATGATGACTATATGGACCATTCCCACAATCCCTCACACACCGTCTCCCTCCACCTTGCATTATGTATAGTTAAAGTGATGGCACCTTTGAAACTGTCTTCACTTAATACCTATGGTTGGTTGTGATGGTTCTCCGAGGTCTTGGAATCAGGACCTCTTTGCATGTTTAACATTTATTGAGTGTTCCCAAAGAGCTTTTGCTTATGTGGGTTCTATCTGTGAATATTTTTCATATTAAAAATTGAGACCGATTTTTAAAAATATATTTATTTTAAAATAAACCTTTTCATGTTGATTAAATAACACATTTTTATGAAAAATAGCTAGACTTTTCACAGCAAAAAGCATGTGGGGAGAATAGCATTACTTCATGTTTTTGCAAATCTCTTTAATGTCTGGCTTAATAGAAGCTGGCTGGATTCTCTTACCTGTTTCTGAGTTGAATCTCTTGTGAGTCATGTAGACTTTGAGATATTCCACTATATATTTTTGAGGGAGTAAGACTTTTTAAAGCAAATAATGTCTTAATGTTTTTATCATTATTACCAAAATAATTTTGACTTCACAGAACCTTTGGTTTCTTAGGGATTCCCCAGGCACACTTTGAGAACAGCTGATAAAAAGCCACTGGGTGAAGCACTAGAGATGATTATATCCCCTAGTCTTCTGAAACCTGAGGGATTCGTTTATTTTGACTGAAACCCCCAATTTTAGGCAACTGTCTCTTCAGACACTGTAAGATACTACTTACTATTGCATTCATCTCCCTTTGATAACAGGCCCCTGTGTGAATTTAGAATCCCTTAAAGAACATCAATCTCCTCAATATACCTGCCTCGGGCTTCTGCATTTGTTCTTTTCTCTTCCAAACACCTACAAAAACTTCCCTCTTGTTTGCCAATGAGGGATGATGGTGATTCTCTTAGCTCACACTGAGTGCTTGTGGGTGCCTGACCCTGGGCTGAGTGCTTGATGGGCAAGGGCCTTGCAAGAGGTTAGCAAACCTCAGTCAGGGTCAAACAGGTATCCCTCATCTGTTCTTACATTTTCATGTCAGTGATGGCCTATGTGTTTCGCTGCTGAAATGAAAAGAACATCCCTCAGTCTGGATTATTTCAAGCCCCTAGCTTAGAACTACAAGGAGTTATGGATTCACTGCTTTGATGGTGCGCATGAAATACCTCTGCATATGTTGTGGGCCAGTGGTACTGACAGAGAGAATGCATAAAATAGAATCAAGTGAACAGGTTAATCTCTTATGTTAATATCCTGGGTTGTTGCTGTCTATAATGTAATGTAATATATTGTCTGTGAAATAACTCTGATATGTGAGTTATAATAGTCTGTGATATAATGGTCTGCGAAATAACTCTGATATGTGGATGTATGTATGTTCTTGTTTTTAAATTGTCTAATGTGAGTATAATAAGAGATGGATCAATTTCTTCCAGGCTCAATCCAACTAACCCTTCATAAGGAAAGTCAAAGCCTGGTTTTATGATTGCATCTCTCAGGTAGGTGCAAAGATTTGCATTGTTCAGTGGATGTGAATTGGAGTTAGGACGGGTGCCAAGCTCTAAAAGATAATGCTTTGTTCATATGACATCTCTGCAGTGGAGCTTCTCCTTTATAGCAATTTCTCCCATCTTAGAAATTATCCTTTTGGGTCTGGGTTGTTCCTTCAGTAAGAGTTTATGGCTGAATGCTTACCCTGCATCAATCACTATGATGGACATAGAGATACAGGGTGAGTATCCCTCATCCAAAATGCATTAGACCAGAAGTGTTTCAGATTTCAGATGTTCTGGATTTTGGAATATGCACTGGCTGAGCATCCCTAGTCCAAAAATCTGAAATTCACAATGCTCCAGTGAACATTTCTTTTGAGTGTCCCATTGATATTTTTAAAATTTCAGATTTTGGAGCATTTTGGATATCAGATTTTTAGATTAGGTTTTTGTTCAGCCTGTTCAGTGGTTAACACACGAACTTGTTTAGTGGAGGCAAACCCATTAAAAGATACGTTTTTTGAAGGGAAATAGAAAAATGGCAAATAAAATAATGACAAGTAAATAAATGCTTTGAGGGATATTAACAAGGCGAGAGCAGGGATATGAAGTGTCGACTTAAGATACGTTGCTCATCAAAGGTCTCTCTGAGGAAATGACATTTAACATGAGGTTTCAGAATAAGAAGAAACTAGACTTGTGGTTTAAAGCCACAGGGTCAGGTGGGGTCATCTTTGAGAAACAGCAAGGAGGGCAGTTATTTGAGGTGAAGCTGGGAGCATGATAGACCCTCAATGAGGTTCTATTGACCATGTTGAGGAGTTTGATCCAAGGCTTCATTGACCATGTTGAGGAGTTTGAATTTTATACTAAGAGTTAAAGTAAATATACAGGTTTTTTTGTGAAGGCATTGATTACCCTAATCTAGCAATAGATATGAGTATACAAAATAATGGGTGTACAAGTACACAAAATAATCTAGGAATAGATTAGGGTAATCTAACATGATTTATATTTTAAGAAAATTACTCTAGCTGTTATGTTAAGAATTGATGGGAGGAATGAAGACTGGGAGAGGAGAGTTCAACCAGAAAGCTTTTGGGTCCAAGATGGTGTTTTTAAGCAAGCAGTGGAGGTGGTGAGAAATAGAGAGATTTCAGATATATTTTGGAGCTACAGTTAATAAATTGCTGAGAGCTGGAAGCAATAGGTAACGGAAGAAGAATGAAGTCAGTCTCCTGGGTTTCTGTCTTATGCAATGAGATGGATGGTGTTTGTTGCCCATTAGATAAGGAAGCTTCAGAGTGGAAGGAATATGTGGGTCAAGCAGGAACTACAGTTTACTTAACATTTTAACTTTCAGATGTCTGTGCACATCCAAGTTTTGATGAGAACCTGGAGTAACTGGGCAATTTTCTGGGAAAATACAGTTTAATCAAATGGACTTCTAAATAGATGGGAAACCTTAGCAGAAAAATCTTCATAGAAGAGAGACAAAGTTGTCAAAGAAGTACCCTACAAACATGCATATGATCCAGATTACATCACAGAGGAATTCTACTAGCTTTTTAAAAGGATAGTGTTAGTGCTGCTCAAACATTCTAGCACATAGAAGAATAAAAGTTTCCTAATTTTTAAATCAATCTTGCGTTACAATATCAAAATGCAACAAACATTGCAAAGAGAGGTACATATCAATCTCACTTAAAATAATCATTCTAGGCCAGGCGTGGTGCCTCATGCCTGTAATCCTAGCTCTTTGGGAGGCTGACGCAGGTGAATCACCTAAGGTCAAGAGTTCAAGACCAGCGTGGCCAACATGGTGAAACTTCATCTCTACTAAAAATACAAAAATTAGCCAGGCATGGGGTGGGCAGGCACCTGTTATTCATGCTACTCAGGAGGCTGAGGCAGGAGAATTGTTTGAACCCAGAAGGCAGAGGTTGCAGTGAGCTGAGATTATGCCACTGCATTCCAGCCTGGGCAACAGAGCAGGACTCCATCTCAAAAATAATGAAAAGAATAATAATAAAATAACCATGCCAAAATTCTAAATAAAATGTTGGCAAACAGAATTTAGCAGGATATTAAAGGAATAGTATGTCATGACCAAGTGAGATTTAGTCCAGGAAGGCAAAGATGGTTTGATATTAAGGAATCTAGTAATATATTAATTACTAAAAGATCTAGTGAGAAAAATCATTATGATTGTCCTTATTTCCAAAAGCATTTGAAAATTCTACATCTGTTTTTGAATTTACATAAAACCTAACAAAAT